GGACCCAGTATCTGTGCTTCAGCTCTTTGTCTGGACCCTATCTGGCCTACATGTTTAATCCATAAGCAATCGGGTTCAATCAGGGACATTCACCCGATGTGACTGACTGTGAGTGATGGATATGACTGTAAGAATTATGGAAGTAACTAAATAGACCGGATAGGGGAATACATATTCCAATGAAGATTAGCAGGGAGTTCATGTACCATGCAGATAAAAGTCTATAAGGAAGCTGTAATCTATAACCTATGGACCAAAAATATGCAAGACCCATGAGCCCCTCAACTTTCACAAGTCCTATAGTAGACAAGCAGGAAGCAATATGAGGCAACTAATGGTTTCTGTAAAACCCACTGCAAGAGGACAGTAAGGAAGGATTATACTGTATATGAACACTTTATTTTGGAACACAAATAAGGGTGTTCATCCTGGCTAAGATTGAAACTGCCCCAATAAGCTTAGACTCCCGAAAATAAGTGGATGGTTATTTCATTCCAGATTGGTTAGCTTTCCCATCATGATTTTATTTGACATACTCCATCAAAAGGATGATTTTATCCTCGAGTCTAACTGGTAAACCAAGTGGCACTTAATCTCCTCTTGTGCTGGTCTTCCTCACTGCTGCTTAAAAGTATGGCAATACACTCACTTTGCAAGGATGCTCACAAGAGGTCACATTTTTCTTGGCATACTGCTCTGATATGAATTTTGCAATTTTGCCATACCTCTTTCTCATTTTCAGTGATCTCATTGCTTGAAGATGGGAGCAAGGAATTGCTGCTCAGTGATTTAACCTCTTAAAATCTTAGGCGTTTTTTTTTTTTTTTACAATTTCTGGCTAGAACTGCATGCCCAAATTCCAAGGCCTAGACCTCTTTATTACAATGAAATTATGCAGATTACAGACTTATGGTAACAGATAACCCCTTGAAATGTTTAGAACAACCAATACAATACTTATTGCCAGTTTTTTAAAGGGGAATTGCCCGTGGATGGACAATGGAGTCCGTAGGTTTGAAGAAAGACAACTCAAACCAAAAGCAGAAGTTCTGACCAGCATCAATACAAAAAAAAAAAAAAAACAACCTATTGATATAATGTACTCTCACAAAATCTATTAACATCTGAATATGAATACATTTTTCCACTTTCAGTCTATGAGTATCCTCTTATGCCCAAGACTTTCAAATTATTTCACTTAAATCATTTCAAAATCAAAAGACACAAACAACTTTTGGGGCACTTCAATCGTTATGCATCCTCATTAAACTGTTAAAATGGCGACTTTAACTAATGAGCTATTTCTGTTGATTAGGTGTTTTTTATTGGCTATTTCAACCTTATAAAAGCTACTGGATCACTAATTCAAAAGACATCTGATTTCAAGAATGTATTTCCAGTAATGAAAAATGACAAAGCTCAATCACACCTGCTCACTAAATGCACTCTAAATCTAAATTCAACGGTTAATCAAAGCTCTTAGATAGAATAAATACACTATTCTGAAAAAGGGGAATATTCACTTGACTCTGACCACTTGATGGCATCGTTTCCAATTCAACTTTGACCCTTATGAGATCTGAGTTTAGAGCTTGACTCACTGTCTAACTCTTTTATAACACCTGCATTGAACTCAGACATCAAAAGGCAACCATTAAACTGATATTCCTCCCCACCATAACAAAAGCATGGCACGACACAGAACTGAATGTGCTATCAGTAGGCACTTTTGGACCACAGGAATTTTTGTACTGTCATCAGAACGGTTGGAAGAACTACCTCCTTTTTGTTAGGTTGGCACCATAGGAATTGGAAACTGGCATAGAATACTGTTCTGAAGGTCCTACGACAGGGTGATGCCCACAGTTCTGCTAGGAAAGTGACATGAATGTGTACTGATCGGTCAAAGAAAGAAACGGTCAAACACTGATGCAAGCGCTGACAACCACCATTTTTAAAATGCTAATGTACTCAAAAGTTTAGTTGACTTAGCCTATTAGCTTGCACAATAAGGCTTGCGCAGACACTTGCAATTCTATCAATGCATAAGGCATATTGAGCTTGAGACATGGAATTTGCCAGCAAGTAACTATTTTTCAGTATAATTATTGATCAAAGTGCAAAAAAGAAAGTATTTTGATGAAAACAGAGTTTTCAATTTTAACTACTGTCACTGAAAAAAGAGCCCCTTTGACCTTGCCTACATCATATTGCATACCCTCTGCTATACCTCTGAAGTATGCTAATTTTAAATACTATTTCATGCATGTTCATTTGATTTAACAAACAAGGCAGGACTTTTTGAATGTGCAGGGCCAGAATTGAAATAAACACACATTTGTTATCAAACTATAATACTTCCAAAATGTTTGCACTACCCTTGTGTGAATGCCGTCTGTGTCTCCTCCCATTCAGCAATTAGCATGCCCGTTAGAAGTATTGTCTCCTTTGATTGGTCTACATCTTGCATGTTTCCACGATCCCCGGCTTTGTCTTGTTTCATAGTTACCTCACCTCTTGCGCGTGTTACATATTTATAAGCCCTATTTTGAGTTGCAAGTTGCTGGATTGTAATTTGTTACATGTGCTTAGAAGCAGTCAGTACTTACTAGGAAAACAATCCCTCTTAGAAAGTGAAACATAACTTTCAAAGATATTCATTCACGGATGTTCTCTTCTTTATCTAGTTAATAGGAACAAGCTCCCAAGCCTGTCTCACGGCTTCCAGTATTGGGACCACATTCCTGTTAATCCTTTCCCAGTCTGTTCCTCTGTCCAGTTTATTAGGATCAAGTTCCCAGTCCTTCTACGGTCATCAGGATTGAAACGGCGTTCCTAAGCTTCTCTATCCTGCTTTCGGAAAGCACAGCTTTGGCGAAGTGTACACTCCACCTGGCAGTCATCTCGGAAAACCACTGGCCAGGCTTTGGCAATGCCGACACTACTTCACTAATAACATCTGAACTGAACTGTGCTGTTCTCCTCTGGGCACCGTCCCACTGTCTACCGCATTAATATCAAAAAATCCCACTACTGGATTGTACTCTGCCACCACACTTGAGTCCTGGTCTGGATCATAACAAAAAAAAGTATCTAGTATCAATGCACTTTTTAAAAAATGCAATAGGAATAACAATATGACATTATACAGACTACACTAGTGTCCTATATGAAGTCTATACGCATATAATTAAAAAAATAATGCTGCCAGATTGCCACAACATATCTCACTCAAAGTGAATGAATAGAAACATTACACTCAGGCAATTAAACCCTGCAACCTAATGACTGAGTAATTTGGGTTTTCTCAGTGGTAAGTCAATGCTTGTTTGAAGTTGATGAAAGTTAGAAAACTGTCAAATGATTTAAACACCAATGCTTTAAAAGAAAGCGTTAAATGCATTCCTGTTCATTTGAACTGGGACCAAAATGGTAACTAAACTGTGAGTGCAATGAATGACCACTGCTTATCTAATGTTTTTTATTGACCCATCTTACTGACATTTATCCAATCAATGGGTAATGTCATAGCCAGTTACAAGTTTGTTTCATATACAATATGTTTTTTTTTTTTTTGGACAATTTCAACAAAAAGTCTTCGCACTGAGGTTTGTGAGATCACTATGGCCAGTTCATATGCAGCTGGACACATGAATTTGTTGCTACCTGTGTCTTGCAGTCAGCACAGGTCATCTTGCAGGATGTCTGCAGGAATGATCTAGTTCACCACTTAAGGTCATGTCTTGCCTAACAGTGGTGCTTCTGGCTGTTTCTATAACAGGAAGGAATGGCTGGTGCAGATGATGGTAGTAGATATACTGGTCTTGTCATGCAGTCGTCACGCGCGGTGTTCCGCTTCTGGTACCATCCCAAGTGCAGCTGGTGGCTTGAAATTGAGTCCATAGATGACTAATCATTGAAACTGCCAACCCCAAATGCATTTGCAACCATACTTGGACAGTTGCGAGCATGCAGTGGTCCGTTGGCTCTTTCACAGTCTATTGCGTTTAATTTTGGCATTCCTGTTCTGTACGAATGAGGGATATCAGACAGTGTCCGAGTGCTGGCCTTTTGTCCTTGTAAATGCTGAACACCGCTTATAAGGAAAGTTCAAATCTGGCTGTTTTATCGTGGCCTACGTAAATGAAGGCAGTGCAAGAAACACATCTTCCATGCCTTGCCTGTTATTTTCACAAAATACCTGATAAGACACTAGGCTGACTCAAAAATGCTTCTTTTAGCATCCCATCCGGAGAGCACAAAATTTTGACAAAATACCACCTTTCCTTTAATTTGCATTTCTTTTGATATTATAGACAGTAAATATACTTAGAATCTTAGATACATCCCGAAAATTAACCACAGAAAAAGAGACCACTGAGATATAAACTTTAAGTCTGATCCAACTTTGTTCATGAAAGCTGCATGTGAATGTTTGTGGACAGTTCAGTCAGAAAATTTCTTACATACTGTAAAAACATAAGATGGGTGAAAACAAATTATGGAGTTAGTACATAATTCAAGTTAGGGGTTAAGTCACAAACTTAGAGAACATAATTGTTTAAATTGACTTTTTACAGGCATTCATTAGCTTCAATTACATGCACATTCTCACGCATAATTTCAGGCGAATGCTCTTGCAGATGTATAGAAACGTATTCAGAACACCCCATGCGCGCATACTCAAATACTGATGCAGACATTCACATACACCCAAACAAATATATACACAAACCGATACAAAACACAGAAATTATCACAAAATTATACAGTGTGCTCAAAAACACACACACACACACACACACACACACACACACATATTCCCATTCATATATAAATTACACCTTCTGTGCACAGATCTCCTGTTGATTCATCCGTTCTTAGAGCCCACCGTGGTCATTGCGATGCGTATCAAAACGGAGTCAATCTCACTGACATGCATAGATACAGTGCTGTGAAAAAGTATTTGCCCCCCTTTCTGATTTAGATAACCTGAGGGTGGCATGGTGGTGCAGTGGGTAGCACTGCTGCCTCACAGAAGGAGGTTGTGGGTTCAAATCTGGCTTTGGGCCTTTCTGAGTGGAGTTAGCATGCTCTCCCCCAGTTTGTGTGGGTCTCCTTCAGGTACTCCAATTTCCCCGCACAGTCCAAAGACATGCATACCAGGTTTATTGGACTCTAAACTCTAAATTGTGCATAGGTGTGAGTGAATGGCGTTTGCACCCTGCGATGGATAGGCAGTGTGTCCCTGCCTTTGCCCATAACCGGCTGGGAACTAGCGCCTGGAGCAGAGCAATGGTGAGGGACTATCAAATTTCACTGTTGTAAACAACAGCATGTACATCCAAACAGCCAGGTAACATATGAACCAAAAGAGAAGAAAAAATGAGGTACTCTAAAAATTCAAAATAAAATTTTTTAAATAAACTTGACCTGCTTAGTATGACTAATATTGTTGTTTTTAGCTTTGGCAAATACATTACTAGAACCAGGTACCGCTAGCTTGCCAGCAATACAGCAACCTCAGTTTCCAATCACATTTACGATAATAACGGTGTTAACTGCAACCATGTTCATTTTTTAAGTTCAATATCATGTTGCATATTTTGTAATTTGTCAATAAGATATCAAATGGTTTGATACGGTTTGAGTTTACAACTATTGATGGGCAGCTCTCCTCTCCCCAAAGCTGTGCAATCCTCTTGTTTCTTCCATCAGCCAGCTGTGCATGTTCACGTCTTTAAGGGAAGTGGCTCCGAGGGAGGGTTCATATGAGGTTTCTAGTTTCCCAAAAGTATACAGTGCAGCTTTAAATGCAGTTATTACATTATATGAATGTATTACATCATGAGTTCCTTCAGTTTCTCTCATTTCTTTTCATCTGAAAAGCATTTAAACATTCTATATTGTACTCTACAGGACAATACCATTACAGAGGCTTTCCTTAACTGACTATAAGCCGCGACCTGTGCAGGGTCAGATGTGTCAATGCACATTTCAAGCACGACACTAGTGTCTTTGCTGGTTTATGACCAAAGCAGTTACCATTTTCCCATCCAGTGTGTTGCTATCTTGAGGCTAACAAAAACCTGGTCTGCAGTCAATTGTCAGTTTTGACTCTTGCATGAGGGGCTTAAAAAGCGCACAAACACGCATCCACTCCGCTTGTTGCGCACGCAGGGACAAGCATTAGCACTCGCATATGCAAATGATTAAAAATAAAAGATTGCATCTTGAAAGATTATTATTGTGTAAATCAACATTTTTAAAAAATAAATGCCATAATGGTGAGTGCGATCGAGATTGCACGCCCATGCAGCTGCTTGTCGCATCATAATTAGGAACACTACACAAGCCTTCTGTGGCCTGTGTTCCCACTAAACTCACCGTCCTGCCACACAGTTCTGCTGTGGCGTGTACTCCATCTGTCTGCTGTCGCGGGATGCCACTGGCCGGGCATGGACAAGTCTCCACACTCAAGCCTGCACCATCTGAACTGAAATGAGCCATTCCGCTGTGGGCTCCATCCCTCTGTCATTATCGTATTACTATCAGTAAACCCTACCATTGGATTGCACTCTGACAATGTATTTGGTTCCTGGTCTGGATCATAACACATGCCTATATGGTCAAATACTGCGTGTCCTGAATATTTCACACTTGCATATACACAATACATTCATGGTACAATTCCGAAATAGTTGGGACAAAGTGTAAATTGTGAATAACATCAAAATGCAATGACCTTCAGATCACATGAGCCAATATGTTATTTACAATAGAACATAGATAACATTTCAAATATTGAAACTGAGACATTTTACATTTTTACCCACAAAATGAGCTTATTTCAAATTTTCTGGCTGCAACAGGTCTCAAAAAAGTCGGGACACAGGCAAAAAGGGCTGAAAAAGCAATTAATATATAAGAGAATCAGCTGAAAGAACATTTAGCAAGCAATTCAGTTAACTGGCATCAGGTGTGTAACATGATTGGCTATAAAAGGGGTGTCTTAGACAGGCTGAGTCTCTCAGAAGTAAAGATGGCCAAAGGCTCTCCAACCTGTGAAGGCTTGTGTAAAAAAATTGTGGAATACTATGAAAACAATGTTTCTCAACATCAAATTGCAAAGGCTTCGAAGGTCTCATCATTGACAGTGCATAACATCATCAAAAGATTCAGAGAAACTGGAAAAATCTCTGTGCGTAAGGGACAAGGCCGAAGACCTTTACTGGATGCCCGTGATCTTTGGGCCCTTAGACGCCACTGCATCACTCACTGGCATGATTCTGTCATTGACATACTAAATGGGCCCAAGAATACTTCAAGAAACTGTTCACTGTCTGTGAACACAGTCTGCCGTGCCATCCACAGATGCCACCTAAAACTCTATTATGCAAAAAGGAAGCCATTGTTGAGCATGATCCAGAAGCACCACCGTGTTCTGTGGGCCAAGGCTCATTTAAAATGGACTGTGGCAAAGTGGCAAAGTGTCCTGTGGTCAGACGAGTCCAAATTTGACATTCTTGTTGGAAATCATCGTGTCCTCCGGGCTAAAGAGGAGAAAGACCACCCTTCCTGTTATCAGCGTTCAGTTTAAAAGCCAGCATCTCTGATGGTATGGGGATGCATTAGTGCATATGGCAGGGGACACTTGCATGTTTCAAAAAGTACCATGAATGCTGAAAGGTATACAAAGGTTTTAGAGCAACATATGCTCCCCTCCAGATGACATCTATTCCAGGGAAGGCCTTGTGTATTTCAGCAGGACAATGCAAAACCACATACTGCAGCTATTATAACAGCATGGCTTCGTAGTAGAAGAGTTCGGGTGCTGAACTGGCCTGCCTGGAGTCCTGATTTTTCACCGATTGAGAACATTAGGCGCATAATTAAAGAAAAAGACCATCAAAGGAGACCCAAAACTCTCCAGCAGCTGGAGGCCCATATTAAACAGGAGTGGGATCAAATTCCAATGGCTAAACTCAAGAAACATGTCTCCTCAATGCCCAGACACCTCCACTTTGTGTTAAAAAGAAGAGGGGATGCTACACCATGGTAAACAGGCCCCTGTCCCAACTTTTTTGAGACCTTTAGCAGCAATCAAATTTGAAATGAGCTCATTTTGGGGATAAAATTGTAAAATTTCTCAGTTTCAACATTTGCCATGTTATCTCTGTTCTATTGTGAATAAAATACTGGCTGGTGTGATTTGAAAGTCATTGTGTTTTGATTTTATTCGCAATTTACACTTTGTCCCAACTATTTTGGAATTGGGGTTGTGTATATCATTCCAAATAAACCAAAATTTAACCATCATAATTTGAGCTATTAAATTAAATCTCAAATGTAGTCAAATGGCTCCAACATGTTGGCATACCTAACTGCCTAAACGTATAGCATGCTATTAGTATTTACAAAATAAAGACAAAATTAGTGCAAACAAATGAAATTGTAACCGGCAGTGCTTAGCGAAGTGTGCATTGTGTTTTGATTGATGAAGTCTCTCAGTCCAGGATATCTTTGGAGGTGATCCCCATCTTCACTGATAATGGTAGTAAATAACTAAATCCTCCGGTCAATTGTAGTCACATACTGTAATTTGAACTCCACTCCCAGTGGGTGCAATAGCAAAAGGGAAGAGGTGAAATCGGAAGACATCATTTGTAAGGAAGGACCCATGGAAGTAAACATAAGAGTACAAAAAACCGAGTCTCAAATGTTCCACATATTGACTCAGGACACCCGACACATCAGGTAATAACTACTTACACAGATTTTGTGAAATTATAGAACAACATATTACTAATATATTTTTGACTCTGTTACACAATTACTGCTTTTTTAATTGATGCTGTTATGCAATCAAACATACAGCAACATTTATATAAAACAATATTGTCCTTACTTTTGGAATGTAAAGAAGTGGTAGGTGTAAGAATATAAATAAATGTATAATGATAAATGTGCAGTCGGCTTCCGAAAAGCTAGCTTGGCTAAACAGCTTCTTATAGTATACAAAGCCAGTTGATTAATCTTGGCTGTAACTTGCATTTGAAGAACCAAGTCTTTGAAATCTACCAAGTATTTACAGTTGCCTCCACTGAAGAATTCTGAGGTGTGTTTTTATCAATAAAAGCACAATAGCCCCAGGTTTTAGACTACTGTTAAATTTGTTCCACTTCTAATCCTCTTGAAGACATGGTATGTGCTGTATAATTTACCTTCTCCAAATGAATGCCTTGACAACATAGATGCAAGCTATTTCCAAATGAAGAGCATGACTAGAAAGATGCATAGGGAAGAGGGGGTTAGTTTAAACAGATTTCACAAAAATGCTTATTTTCAAAATATGGTTATATTGAAAATTCTACTGCATGTTATGTGTACAAGAATCTCAGCAATAAAGTTCAGCAATGTTCAAAGAGGTTAATAAAAAAAATAAGTCTTTGTGATATGAGTCGAGGTGTTCCAACTCACCCCACAGTGGGGTGAGTTGGAACATGCCATGAGGGGGAGTTGGAACACCTAAGTTAGTGAAGGGAAAATCATGAATTATCTTGACATATGGTCTAATTTTGACACTTTTTCCGCCCTGGGAGTGGTCCTGATGAAAATAATCAAGAACCCTAAACCAAAATTTGGATGTGCCTCACCCACATAATTCTTGAGTGACCCTACATACCCTAGGCAAGTCTTGATCTACAGTTGGACACTAAATAATCATTATACCTCAGCAGTTTAGTTATCTATTTAATGAAACATACTGACTATATAAAATATATGAGCTTATTTTTTCTTAAATTCATTCTAAAAAACAGAACTTCATCAAAATTGAAGACAATTTTGCTAAGAAATACAGAAGAAATCAGGGTTCTTTTTTTAGTGGCTGTGCTTTTTGATCAGGCCTGTTTAAGGACAGAAAGCTATTAAATGTGATCAGTTTTGAGCATAACTGCAGTAACATGTACCAGTCTACTTGTGATGAACAGCAGGGTTTGTTGGAACATGTTCCAACTAGCCCCCCTCATCATGTTCCAACTAGCCCCATGCTATAATCACCACAACACATG